CGGGTATGGGAGCGCGCTAGCCGCAGCTGTGGCGTGGGCGAGCGTTTTCTCCTCACCTGCACGGAGGAGGGAGGGACTGTGAGAGGTAGGAGCCTGCCTGGGAAACGGGCTCCCTCCCTTCGACACAGGCAAAGCCAGCAGACCGGGCAGTGACCTAAGTGACAAGAGCTTCTGGCAGCACAGCCGTCCCTTCAGTTGCTATTAATGGAAGTGGAGAAGCCACTAATTCAGCCTCTGAAGGACTCTGTCTTCTGCACCCTGCCTTGCTGCTGTGCATTTCAGTTCTACTCCATTTCTGTGCTTTGGGGTTTTCTTCACCATTGGAAGACAGCTAATAAAGCCACTCGTTCTGGCAGCACTTTTTCTTCTGAGAAGGCTTAGGGCCGATCGCTCCCTTCGTTATGAAGAAGAAGAAACTTCACTAATTTTCAGTGAGTTTCTACAGAAAGAACGGTCCTGCCCTTTCTGTTCACGTCACCAAAGAAACCAGGCTTCAGGATCTGTAGTGTTACTGTATTTATGAAAAGAGCCAGAGGGTTGGGTATAAGTAAGAAAATACTTTTATTACAGTGAAGAACTTACCCCAAATAAAAGGTACCTGTCACCTGTTTATATGCCTGACCGGTGACGTTTGTGATTACATGTGCTGGGTCCAAATCTGTGTAGGTATCTATATCATCCTGGCAACTGGAAGGAGGTGGAGTCTTCTACCAAAGTCATACAGAACTGGGGTGACAGTCCCAAATGACAGAGTGGTCCTGTTTGTAACATGGTGGGTGATGTCTCTTCTCCTCAGTCAACACTAAACCTGCACCCAGAGTGGAGTCAGGAAGATAAAATGTGGCGGAAATCACCTCTATGTGTACGGCAAATATTTTATGCAAAACCAGCAGTGGCAGGATGAATAATACGCATGGCTGGGTGTCCATCCACACAGAGTAATGCGAAAAAAAAACGCAAAGAGGAGCACAAATATTAGGAGAGTCCCTAGGAAATGCTGGGCACCTTCTGCTTTGAAAAGCTTCTGAGGGAGCAGCAGGTCCGCAGCATTTGTGCTCCTGCGGCAGAGCACCGGCACGTCCCGCGGGCAGGACCTACCTCTGACGAGGAGCTGAGTGAGCTGCTCCAGTGTGTCGGTGCTGTTGTGCTGGTTCTGGGCTCTGCACTTGTAGAGGCCGCTCTGCTCCTTCGTGACGTTAGTAATGACCAAGGTCAGAGAAATGGAATAGTTGTCTGTTTTCTTGATCACCGAGCCGCTGAGAGCCGCCTCCGAGGAGGGGTAGTACCACGCCAGGTGACTGTAGATGTACCTGGAGGCACGGCAGGTCAGCTGCACGTCGTTCCCCACTATGGTTGTGACTTGGGAGTCTGTTTGCAACCCAGAGGGCACATCTAGGAGGAAGAGAAAACGTGTTTGCGATCGTGTCACAGCTGAGAAGATCTTGGGCTGCCCCTTTCCAACTTGATGGGCAAATTTCAGAGCCCAGCCGTAATGAAATGAGCCAGTTTTAATGAGCCCTGCATTTGCTTGTGCAAACAGGCACTGGTGCTTGTGAACTGGCTGAGTGAATGTACCTGCCGTGACCTAGAGCTGACCTGTGGTAATTTCAGCCTAAATATTCTAATTATTACATTTTCAGGTAATGAAATGGAAGTTTATATATAGAAGCAGTTAATGGACTAAAGGAGTTTAATGCAGAGAGACTGCTATCCAGGTGGACAAATGTGTTCGTGAATTTTTCTCTTTTAATCAGTGCTTGAAAGCATGGGTGCATAAGAATCAAGAAACCTATTCCCATTTCTCAAGAGTAACACTCTGTTTCTTCGCCACCGAGCAATCTTCCCAATTCTCTTTTATTTCAGCTATGCCAGTGTTTATTTTCATCACATGTGCCTTGATCACGGGATGGATTAACTGATCTAATGATGTATAAGTCCTCGAGGCCTTTATATTTAGCAGAGAAATACTTAGAGGCATGAGCCCAATCTATCCACAAAAGAGTAAGCTGCTTCTTGCTATATTTTTAATAACTTTTCACTCCAGGAAAAAAAGATCCATTTTCCTGAAGTGGCAAACTGAATCCAGCTGAAGACAAGACAAAAGTTTCTGCACAGAATGCCAGAGCCTGGCCCACAGACACATCCCTATTGCTGTGTTAGCTGCCGGAGAGCTACAGTTGTGGCTGAAAGATGCTCTTTTCCTGTTCTCAAACTCTTGCACAAAGTTCTTCCGGAGCTATAGTTGAGCATAAATAGCGAGGCGGTTGAAATAACCAATCTGCCTTATCATAAACCATATATTATATAAAATACAGAGCCCTGAAGGAGCTTTCAGATATGATTAAAAGTCTCTCTTCTTCACAAGTCATCTGGAATAGAACCAATAAGCTTTGCTTCATGGTTTTTAAAGACTGGCACCAGAAATGTGTTATGAAAGATCCAAAAAGAGAAGAGACCCCCTCAGGCCACAGCTGTGGAAACTGTTATTTTTCTTTTCTCTCCTTTTCATGAAATTTTGGTTTTCTTTATGCAGTTTTTTGTAAGGCTCAGTTGCTTTCTTTCTTGCTTAGTGCTACCTGTATGCTCAAGCTGACTTGTGTAGTACATCCATTCCTCATGTCTGATATCCTGTGGTTCCAACAGGTCAAGCTGATGCTTATCAAAAGGCAGGAAAAGTCTTGAGGCCAGCAGAACTTCTCAAAGTAGGGAGAATTATGATCCAGTGCAACCACTGGGATGTGGCGTGAGCAGCATCTCAGCATCTCTCCTGAGTTTTTCAAACCAGAATAGGGAAAAAGCACCCTCTTAACTTGCCTTTTTCTTAGTTTCTCTGCTAAGCATTTGCTCTTTGCTCCACCAAGAGTTGCAGGACTAAGGCAGACGGATTTTTGGATAGACTCAGTTCTTTAGTAAGCTCGGTGATCTGGTGATCTCTGAGATCCCTCCCAGCCTGGCTGGAGTTTCTGGAGCTCTCTTGACATTCTGGTACAAATTCCCAAAGAATTTGAGTTAATTTCCAAGCCCTGAATTGTGAAGGATGCTCGATAGACTCGCCTTGCTGCTGGACTTCACCAGTGCAGGTTTTGGTTTTTTTCTACCACCTAAACATTCCAGGAGTAGAGGAGCTGCCTTGTTTTTCTTGTTGTTTCTTCTGCTGACATTTTTTTATTTAACATTTTGAATGTTTTTAGCTGGAACCTGTGCTATTCTCTTCCATCTTGTTAGCCTTTCAAGAAGCTCTTTCAGCTCCAATAGAATATTCATTGATTTTCATTACAGTGGAAGGAAAAAGAGAGGGGGAAAAAAAGTCTTTCTTGCTCTCCTCTCTCTTTTCTCCTCCTACCTGGATTATCTGGGGAGTAACTGCGGCTTTTGGAGCACATTATAAGTCAGTTCATCTCTTAGACTACTTTGCTTACACAATCTTGAACCTCGGCAGTCATTAACTTCCTCTCTCTGAACAGATACAGTGTTTTATAAGACTCCTAATAAGTCGGCTAAAAGAATGTGCCATGGGGCCTTTTCTCTTTTATCAGCAGTCACCAAACATTTGTCTTTTGTATTGTATTACAGAGTGGTAGCCGCGAATTTCACTCTCAACTGTGCGGGATTCCATGGCAAAATAGGGAAATGAGCCATTGGGGGAAGGTAAAAAGTCAGCATAAATCAAAGGGAAGTCTGGCTCCATTTGTATTTACAAGGAATTAATTGGTTTTAATTTCCTGTGCTTTGCACAATAATCTGTGTAATTCAAAACTTCTGCTCTTTTCCCAAATCCCATCCCTGTGCCTGTGCGGGTGGGGGGGGTTTGCCATCAGGCATATGCCTGCAGGGAGACTGAGAAAAAGAAAGGGTGAGCCCTACCATCTGAAACAGCGCAGAGCTTTTCATAAATCCTGTAAACATGTCAGGAATAAGCAAATCGAGAGTGGCAAGCAGTTGTGGAACAGCCCAGTTCATACATTGTTCCAGTATCTGATCGCAGATTTTTATCTCATGTTTGAAATGTAATATTTTCTTTCTGGTAGAAATCTCTTACTCCATTTTTCTGAGTTTTTGCAATCAGATAAGCCCTTGGAAATGGGCTTTTGTTATTATTTGTTATTCTTATCATAATTCATTTATATTCCAAGAACAGTCGGAGGTTTCATATGGGTGGGATCCCATTTTGGTGTAAGCAGTACAGTTGCACAAAGGCTACAATTTGATTTGCTGCGGACCTACGGTAACGTACAGTTGCCCTTTCCAAGGTGTGGACCAGAGATTAGAAGGTAAATAATACCCGGTTTTGGCAGAGAATACCTCCAGGTCAGCTCTTCTCTGTCCCAGGAGGGTTGCAGTCTGCCTTGAGTGTCTTTTGGGGTGTAACTGGCGGTGGGCAATGACGTGAGGCGGTTCTGAGCATCTAACAGCTCGCCTGCACCGCCTCTGCCTGGGACAAAAGAGCCACCTGGCTTCAATGGGAACACCGCTGGCAAAACTGCAGTAGGAGACAGGTTTTGTTTCCCAAGAACCAGTAAAAAGGATTTACACAAACCAAAAATACTGGACTAAGAGTAACTTAGTACTGGGTAACACGGCTGCTGTGTTGCTCCGGGAGTTCCTGCTGCCGTAAGCGGCTCTGGAGGAGCTTCGATGGGATGTGGACCTGCTGAAGAGAGCTCAGGGAGACTTCAGGGCTGTCACTGAATTACAAGAATTCTCATGACGTTGGACCCCTTATATGGTTTGGTTTCAGCATGACCTCCAAACCCTGTTGACCCTTCACTGAAATGAATTCTGCTGGCAAAGAACTGATTTAAAAATAGATACCAGTGCTATTTCTAGTGTCCGTGGGAGTTCATGTGGGGGCTCTGCAGTGTTGACATTATTCTATCAGGATAAAAACTTTTTTTTCTGAAATGAATATAGTGGGATGCAAACCCCAGGCTGCAGTAAAGCAGGTGAAGCCTGGGTGACACCTGATGAAGTTTCCCTGTAGCACTCTGCCGTGTCCTGACACAACATTTCAACAGTGGAACAGGTCGTGAAAGAGAAAGTAGGAACATTTCTCCTGAGCTTCACCAGTGGAACAGGTTCCATGATAGTGGAATGGGCTTTTGAGGGAAAAAGAGAATTTAGCCTCTGCATTGTCTTCAGATTTCTTACCAGTGAGGAGGTAATTAAGCTCAATGCAGCCAAAACATTTGAAAGCAGCTCAGGATCCCCCAGCTTGCTTGTTAGTAGGAGATAATGGGAGACGAGATTTTTAAAATCAACAAATTGCTGGATTCCTTGGGGTGTCCCACAAGTAGCAGCTGTTCTGCAGAGAGCAGAGGTGCTGTGCATGTGTGCTGAATGTTGTCCTGAAGGCCCACATGTTGCTTGTGTTCTCTTGGATTCTTAATTCAGCTTTTATCTCAGCTTTGAGGTTCAATCCACATAAAATTAATCAGCCTAGCGATTGCAAAGTGATCTGCTCGGAGCCTTATGCTTTTAGGCTGTTTGGTACCTCACAAACTGTCCCTGAATGTCCTTCCACCACCGAGCCTGGAGGCATCTCCTGGTGAGAATAACCTCCTCCACGTGCACCCACTAGAAGACGGTGCTTTTTTTCCGTCTGTGAGTCAGACCTTCCGCAGCAGCTCCTGTGGTGGCCTGGCTGCTTTCTGGAGTAACATGCATTACTCAGCAGAGGACCATGGTGTAAAGAAACCCAGCAGCAGGTCACTCTGCTGCTCTTTTACCACGGCAACGTGACCTACTTTAGGAGCAGAGTGGCCACATTTAGAAAGATTGCATTTCTTTCTAATCTATAAACACCACTATTTTTAAACACAGCACTTATAAAAATCAGTCATGTTCGTTCAGCATCTGTCCCTTCCCCAGAACGGCACAGATTTGCAGTCTTTTCTTCACAGGCAAGAATATATCTGTCTTACCAAGCGCTGGTCTTTTTTGGTGGAAACATTTCCACTTAAACTGCTGTCAGTAATTTTGTCCAGTGATTCATTTCCTTCATAATTAAAATTGCATGATTAAAACATTTGTGTGTCAAAACATTGCTAGCTGGGACTTAAAATAAAAAAAAAAATCTGAAATATTAGCTCGCTGTGGGGGGAAAAATATCCCTACATAACTTTATTATTGAACTAAAACAGAGTTGCGTAAGGTGCCTGGATTGATCTAACCCTTTTGAATCCGACCTTATGCTCGTTGCTTATTTAGTTGCTGCAGCACTGATTTTAGTTACCGAGTATTACAAAAGTGCTGTGAATAGCTTGGGAACATACGGCTTTGAGAAACCCATCCGAACATAATAGTTGGCAGAATTCCGAGCAAACACGCCCCCGTGAAGACTCAACACTTGGAAGTGGTGAAGTGTAAAATTAATAGCTGGTCTCCAGCCTGCCTTGGACATCTTGAGGTCCTCTTAGGTTTGAGCTGTATCTCCCAAAAATGCACCTTGAAAGGCTTTTTCCTAAATAAATAAGAGTTGAGGCTTTCAAAAATATCTTTTGGAGATTTAAACCTACTTTGGTTTCTGTAAGGTATTGGGGTAGTGCAAAGAAGCTGTAAATGAAGGTGAAAACTTTTCCCTGTGCGGCACCAGCTTGGTTATTGTTTGATGGCATTTTTCCTGTTAGCACTTCTGTGTAAGATGAACGGTAACAAAGTCGAGTGAGCCCGTTTCTGGTTAGCCCGATCTGCAATGGGCTGAATTACTTCAGAGCAATGGAGTCGTAGAATCATAGGATCATAGAATGGCCTAGGCTGGAAGGGACCTTAGAGATCATCTAGTCCAACCTCCCTGTCATGGGCAGGGATGCCACCAAGCAGCATAGGACGTGAGAGAGGCAGAGGGGTGCGGAGCGCCGCCGTGAGCGAGCTTCACCCTCAGAACTTGCCTCGTGGGGAAGAAACCAAGTATTGAGAATCAGACATTTACCTTCCAGGACGCTTCTGCGGTCTTTGTTCTAAAAATTGTTATTTTGATGTAAATTCTACCAGCCAACATCCACTCATCCAGAAAGTGAGCATGGAAGTGAATCAGTTTGTTCGGGTTAAGCACTCAAACAAGACTGTCCCTGGACTCTTCTCTTTTTCAACTCCCATCTCTCCTAAAAGCATTATGTAGGTCTTGATCTCACTACTAAAGAATTTCTGTGTTGAAAGGTTAAGCAGATATTTGTTTGGATTTGTGTTCTTTGGAGAAAATAGCATGTCCACCTCCTCCCTCCTTAAAGGGCAGTGGAAAGACTAATTGCCAATGTCACAACAGCTCCCAGGGACACCAGCCCTGCGTTAGGGCTGAGTACTGGCCTTGCTCACCTTTGCTCTATCTGCTAACCTAATTCCAAGCTGAGCTCGAGAGAAGCTTCAGGCCTGTTGAAGCCTTTTGGAGGACTTTTTGCTAGAGGTTTTATGAGGACAGAGCTCAAATGCCATGAGTGTTGCTTTAAGACATGGGCAGCCAGACTCAGGGCAGTCCCTGGAAAGAGAGCAAGAGGAGTATCAGGTCTGATGCTGGAGGTGTCAAACTCAGCTGTACGCTGACACGGGACCCAACCTTCCGTGTGGTGAAGAGCTTGGGACTGTGTGATTGGGAGTGCTCTGAAAACACAACATGCGGGGTGTCCCAGAAGTCTTAATGGGTGCTCACCAGCTGCATAAAACTTTCAGGTAAATCATATCGTCAGCATCTAGTTCCTGCGTAGTGTCTCCTGAGTTGATTACCTGAGACGTAGAACTTAATGCTCCTCTCTTCTTTGCCGATCTTGTTGGAAGCCACGCAGTAATAGATTCCCGATGCGCTGCTGTTCTCCACAGTCAGTGTGCTCACAATCTGCCAGGCAAAGAGAGAAAAAATAAAGGCTGTGAGCGTAGTAGCAGAGAGGCTTGAGAGTTGTGGATAAGTGCGTGTGTTAGGGCAGAAAAACAGTTGACAAAGGAGTTTCTAGTAGTGAGTGAAGTTCACAGGCAAGTGCTTCTGTTAGGTTTTTGGTCTTGCATCAACTCAGCCCAGTTAGTTCTCTTTCCTAAACCTTCCCCTTCTTTTCTTCCTATCTGCGTTGTGAAAAAAGGAGCTCCCCTTTGACACATTCCCAGGGTCTTTGTGTGACAACGTCAGCAAATAGCTAAAGTGAAGGACCCGGAAGATTCATCGAAGACGCTGGCAATGAAGCCCCACGTCCACCTGTTTTCTTTTCTGCTTTTCAGTTACGGTTTCCGTGGGTAACAGGACACGCACAGTTGCATGGGGAGCAGGTCATTCATATGGATGTGGTGGAAGGAACAGCGCAGGATTTTGCCTTGCTGAGACCCCAGAGAAGGGAGGGAGGGATGTGGCCCCTTTGGGCCTCAGCTCACTCTTATAAATTGTGTTTGGAAGCCCCGTGATTCCTTAAGCCTTCCTCAGAGCCTCACCGGAGCTTATGTAGTGAGTAAGGAAGCTCTGGAGAAGCTGCCTGTGCTTGGCAAATGCAGAGAGACAAGCAGGGCCATGAGAGAGAAGGAAGGAACCTTTCTCCTGAACTTCACTGGATAGGAGAAGGAAGTGGTTCTGTTTCTCGTGGGGCTGAACTCAAACACATCCTTAAGAACGTGTGCTCCTTAGACTTCCTCAGCGCCTGCTTCTGGACAGGGTTTTGTTGATGAGGAGCGGCCCCGCGGCACTGCCCTGTCGCTGTCGTGATGCCACGTCACGAGCTCACGCAGGACCACCCACAGGTCAGGGACTTGATTATTTCTCCTACTTCCTTCAGGCTGCTAGCAAGAAAGCAGGGTCTGACCCACCAAGAAGGAGAAGTTCTTGCAAGATTACTTTGCTTCCCCTGCAGCCATTCACCTGAGGAACTCTGAGCCCTCACATTTGGAACAAATATCACTTTCTCTGCTGTCCTCTCGAAGCACTTTGATGATCAAAACTTACAACACCCTCTGGCCCTTTGTCCTTATCTCCAGAGCGTGCTTTGAAGTGCACAAAAGCATCTCTGGACTTTCTTTTTAATATCCTAAACTAAACTCACACAAGACATTCCTTTACTCCTCATAAAGCTGTGCCATGGATGTGTCTGTAGCTGTGCGGGAAGTATTTGCAGAGTTATTTAAGATTTTCTGAGCTTTGGCACTTTAAATCTTTTTTAGTTTCAAGGGTTTTGATCCCCTGTGCATTTTCCATTCTAATGGGGAACATTTTCAGCAGAATAACGGGCAAGTGGAAAAGGATCTACTTTTCATGGGCACCAAACACAGAAATTAACTAAGAAAAGGGAGAAAGCAAATTTAGGGGTGAAAACAGGAGAACCAGGAAACCCAGCTCCCTCTGGTGTCCACCAAAGAAAGAGCTGTGCGGTGCTGGTTGGTTTGTGGTGTGAAAATAGCTCTACCTTGGCTATAAAATCACCCAGAGAATCAGTCTGCTCCTCCTCCCTTTTCTATCCCTGTAGCAGTGGGCCCGATGCCACAGGCTGTGAGTAAGCACATGTTCAGAGCCCTACCCCTGATTTTAAGCAGTAGACACTGAATTACTGCTGAATTAGGACCAAGGTCTTTCTTCTTGTGATTGCTGGATCTTAGAATTTTCTATGTGGGAATAGAAGAAGCCAATGTAAATGTACGTACTGAGGACAGAAGTGAGTAAATTTGGACAGCTATTTAACATCTCTAAGTGACATAACATTTAACATCTCTAAGTGACATAACATTTAACATCTTGCTGAGGGACAGCTCTAGGTGGGAAGTTGAGGATAATACTGTAGAGTGAGTTAAAAGTGTAAAGGAGATGGTAATTATCTATTTTGGAATATGTCCAAAGCGTTAGGGGCGACACTGTGACTCTTCTAAAAACTGATTCGATGTCTCGAGCTGCATTTGGTGGCCCAGAGCTAAGCGCACATGTACACTCATGAACGCTCTGAGGTGGTGATGTCTCTGACTACGCAACTCCAGCAAAATCTGATGTGGTAGTGGGGAAAAACAAGAGCAAACAGCTATACCAAGACCTCATCTCAGCTTATCTCAATTGTGTCTAGATGCGAAGGTGAAAAAGATGTTAAAATGACAGTGGGAAACAATCCAAGGACAAATTGCTGGGAAAAATTTATTGAGGGAAGAGGAAGTAATTTTCTTGGTTTTATGCTGAACATCACTGCTGGGCACTTGGGTACCAGTTTGCTGCACACCTGAGCACAAGAGAGAATGCACTTCACTGTCTTGTCTTAGAACTAGCACCTCCCAGCATCCTCCAAAATGTGACTTTTAAAGCAAGAGCATCCAGAAAAGAAGCCAAATGACTGATCTCTGAAGAACAGCTATGACAAGTAAATAGACATTACTGCTGGGAAAACTCGTAATGGAATTGTTCAATAAAGTCCATATGTCTTGCACTGTCGTGTTCCTGAACTGATAAACCCAAGCTATTTTAGAAGCAGCCAAATAACATTCCACAGCCATATACCATGAGTGTTTCTAGACATCTTGTAGTAAGAACAGAGCAGCAAGCTTTTTTTTTTTTTTTCAGGCTGGAGCCAGCATGAATTAATATATCTTGTTATTCCTTGCTTTCTCTTTCCTATGTCTAATCCCTCCTTCCAACGGTTTTAGTTAACAGTTCTTCTCTCTTTCACTTCGTTAGCTATATGTGGGCGAGGATGAGGAGTAGAAAAAGTGGGTGGAAAAGTTCTCAGCTGTCTAACTCTGGCAGAGCTGGGGAGGAGGTGGCTAGAGGGAGGGGAAATTATAGGAACTTCACCAGAGACCCCGCAAAGAGAATATTCAGCTAGCGCCCAATCCATCTACTGGAATGGCACACAGTAACAATTATTTGTGTAGCCTGACAGTCCTGATCCATGATCTTAGTTCATTCATGCAATACACGCTAAAGGAGGGACTGGGGACAAGTGATAATAGAAGTCTGTGAGCTGAGTGAGAACTTCGAGGGTTTGCTTTCATCCCTGGCAGTGGGTGTTTCTCTCCCTGATCATTTCGTTCCTCACGGCGTGTGGCAGAGCTGCTGGCAGTACCATTTGATCAGGAGAGGTGCTGGACAGGCCAGGAAACTTCTCAAGAAGACCTGCCAAGGACAGTGTAGTAGTCCATGTGCTCCTGTGCTTGAGTGGTGCCTGAAACATCTGGACCAGTCCTGGAGAGTGGATGCTTTGGCCAAAACCCCACGCATGTTACCGTTCACCTTCCCCTGCCAGGGACTGACGTGACAAGGCTTGTGGGAGCTCCCTGCAATGGGCACCCACACAGGGTGACGGATTTAAACGCTGATTTTACCGAGCTGCTCGCACGCTCTACACCAAATGCATCCTGCAGCTCTAGTGTAGTATTTTTGTTCCTCAGGAGGTTTAAACCTGGCAATCTGGGGTAAATTTTCTTGAGTGGTTATGGGTTTCATTGCTAAAAGAGATGTATCCTTGTGGCCAGGTCACTCTCTCATATCTACATGAAAAAGAAGAAGGAGATTAAAAGAAACCCCCAGTGAGGACTGAATTATGCGTGGATGTTGCTATTATTTTCTGCTGTGTCCTGTTCTTCTGAGCTCAGACCGGTGTGTTCAGTTTACTAGCAGGAAAGAAAAGAAAATATCAGCCTAGCCCTTTGCAACTTGAAGAGGAATTTCAGTCAGTTCACGCAATCATAGGTGTTTCACCTGGTGTTAAAAAGCAGTCTTCAGAGGTAGCTACACAGAAGTTTAAATTACAAAGTGAAACGTTCAATACTGATTCAACACCACCAGGAAAATTGAACTAGCACGATGCAATTGCCGTAGCCACTACTTGACCAAAAGCTTCAGTCAAATACATCCTAATGTTAATGATAACCGCGCGCTTTTCTGTAGGAGTGAGGCTCAGCCTCAGAAGACAGGAGGGGGTGACACTCATTTCTCTATCTGTGGAATAATAATGGAATAATCATTATGACAAAGATGACAAGAGACCTCAATTTGACACACCACTTTTGTCAAATAGATGTCTGAAGATCTTTGATCACAGCAAGCATCGGTGGAATGCTGCAAAAATCCTTGCTTGCTGCCCCGCAAGCTGCTTTTTGAGCAAGGTTCTGGATCTGGTGATTTCTGGGGATTTGTTCCCATATTCTTAGCGACTCTAAAAACTCACTGCATTTTTTCACATGTCACTGAACCAACATATATTGCTACAGCCCTTTGAGGGTGAACTCTAGGGATGCTGAGGAATCTTAGAGATGAAGTAAATTCCACCTTCTGCCCTGAGGTTCCAGCTATCATTGGACAGGCTCAAATCACACAGGAAAAATAACCAATCGCAGCTAATCCCAGCTTTGTAACACAGGCCATAAAAGCCACACTCCAACATCTTTATTATTTCATCTGGCTAGCCAGTGCAGATGAATTACTTGCTAGACATGGTGGGAATGGATTGGGCTGTTTTCTGCCTATTCCATTTCTGGTGGGAATAACGGCTGAAAAAAACCCACAAGGAAAAGTCTTCAGGCTGTGAGTTTGCATCAGTGTCTTTTAAAAATTATATTCTCTTATCTAAAGACTCTACTTAACCCAAATAGCCTTGCATTTCAGAAAGGGAGAAGGAGAGGAATTGTCTGCTAATGTAAGCAGGGAGACAGAGTGCTGAAACCTGAGATTCATTAAGTCTAGTTTTAGTAATTTGAATAAATCTTAATCAGGACGTAAAAGAAATATATTAGGAAACACCTCAGAACGTGTTTTCAATCAGTGGATCAGCAGGAGATGAAAACAATGACTGTACTATAAATTGTGAAGTTGTGAACTTGTAAAGAACCTTTTTTGTGAACGTTTAATAATGAAATATATAAAAGGTAAAGGGTTGTAGGCTCAGCTTTTGAACATGTCTAAAAAATAAACACTTCAGGGTGCCTGGAGTCTATAGAAAGAGCAGAGCTGGCTCTGCAGGGCGAACTGTGGTACCCAAGGGCTGAGCAGCAGCAAAGCTCTTGGGGAGCAAGAGGAGTCCTTCTGAGGACTGCTTGGTGTCGTTGTACAGAGATTCCCTCATGGTCCTCATTTCCACTGGGAAGTTGTAATTTCTCCTTTCTCCTCCACCACGTTTTACAGGCAGGAAACTCAGCGAATGTCAGGGCTGGCCTGTGGGTTGATGCTGTGGGGTTCTCAGTGGGAGTGGAGCATGATTTCTCTGATTGCTGTACCTGGAGACTGCTGCACCTCGAGGGAAAGCTGGGAAGTCCCTCCTCTTGCACCAGCATAAACTGAGGTTGTGTTGGGAGTGCCCAGTCAGATCCAGGAGCCACGTGGCACTCCGAAAACACCTCACTCAGACACTGCAGCCAAATCCCATCTTCAGTCCACTAGCAGACTGAAGTTTCACCCAGCAAAGTCGGTAAAAGATGGCAGAGGGGTTGGAACTAGATGATCTTTAAGGTCCCTTCCAACCTAAGATATACAATTCTTGAAGAACACATTAAAACCAGAGTTTAAGGGGCACTATGCCATCTAAATAAACCCGATTTATAAATATCTTCCAGCAAGAAATGGGAATGAAATGCGAACACTGATTTTCTCCTTCCCAGCCCAAGCTCCATGTTTTCAGAGCTCTGGTTTAGATTATGTTTAGAGCTGGAAAGCCTCCATGAGAAAGAGCAGATGGCTCAGGCACTGATCCTGCCATATGCTGATTTAGTCTGGACTTAATCCAGAAGAGCACTTTAGCTTTGTGCTTGACTTTAAGCATGGTAGTAGCCCAAGAATTATCCTGTGCTTAAAGGTGCACCAGGATACAAACAGCAGCATTTGGCACCTCTCAGGATTAGACTCTAAACAATCTGGAGCATCCACCTCGAAACCTGTACTGCAAAACCAGTCCTAAAGCCACAAACCTCTCCAAGCCCAACTGGGGTAAAACAACAGCCTGAGCCAGACCACAGCATCTTTTCCGAGGCAGAGCCAGAAGTCTGTGAATCTAGAGCAGAGCAGCTGCAGCACTTTCTCAAGGATTAGCGTGGACGTGTGTAAATATTGTCACTCACATCACCACAGGATTATTTAAGAGATAATTCATGACTGGGATCTTTGCAGTTCGCGTTGCCGGAAGGGGGAGCAGGCAGGGAAATGCAGAAGGAAGGAGATCTTCCTCCTCTGGCTCGGTGACATGGCTGGCAACCCCGGTGGGCCAAGGAACGTTGAGAACTCCAGCCGAAGCAGGCAGGTACTGCGGGCACTTCCACACTCTGAAAATCAGGCCAGCCAGCTCTGGCTGCTGTAGGGCACTTAAATTGCTCGGCTGTCTAAGTCCTGCTGCTGGTAGAGCAGGCAAGGTATCGAGTAGTACTCTGTTCTCTCTAAGTGCTGAGCACAGGAATGAACTCAGAGCCCTTATCGGTGGTGTGCGCTTTACAGGACCCCTCTTGCACTGAGCCAGTCTTACATGTTCTCAAGACTGAGGTTTTTGACCCAAAAAGTCTTTGGAGAGTTTTAAACAGGGTATGTGACATCACCGCCAGAATGCCGGCGTTTATAAACAGTGCAGATCTGAAAATGATCCCAGGGCTGTGGAATTCAAAGCATGCTAACAACGCGCGCGGCGGCTTGGGAACGGCGGGGAGAGAGCGCCGTGTGAGCGCAGCGTCCCCTCCGAAAAGCCCGCTGCTATTCCATGACATCACTGCTCAGAGGTCCATCAGACACCTACCTTTCTTTTATCCTCGTGCTTCAAGGGGATGTTTTCGATGCTTCCGATCTTGTTGCCTAGGAACGTGTTCTCCTCAACCGCAATTTTTTGCCCCTGGGGGTTGCACCTGGAGGTAGAAAAGCGAAGGTGGTGCTCAGGAGCCTGACTCACTGCACATAACCCGCGGGGATGTTATTAAAGAGAGAGAATGGCATTCTTAGACAGTGCCTTAGGTCTAAAAAACACCCAAAACCTGTTGCTGTTGGGAATTGTTGCTTTTTCATGAAGCTACTGTATTCCTTCACTGCAGCATTTCAAACTTACCTACGAAGAACCTCCACAGAGGTAGACAAACATCAGTATATGACCAACAAGGAAACCTCCCAAACTTTCTTGGGATTGAAAATAATAAATACTGCACAGCTGATCAAATAATCTGAGTTTGATCTAGCTAGTATTAGTTATGCTCCAACTCAATGCAGTTGTGGCTTTTTCAGTGCTCTTTTTAGCACTCGTGGTACATTACAAAATTCAAAATGCCGGTCACTCAGCACTGTAGGGAAGTGAATGTTGCTTCTCTTCCTCCTCCGCAGAGGCATCGCACTTCCCATGGCCGGTCCCAGCGGCCTCTGAGCCCGATGTAGCAGAATAGAATTATAGGAGGTAAAATAAATGAATTTCTATAGGTGATGACCAAGGGCTGGTGCTGCAGGAAACTAATCCATAAATCAGCGGCGCCTTTGCCAAATCTGGGAACACCCTGGGTCAAGGGAGGGTTGATAACTCTCAAAAGAGCCTAATTAGAAGATGTCTTGAGTGACTTCCTCCTGCAAGGCACAATTCGGTCTCGAGGATGAAGGGGAAAAAACTGAAAGGAAGCAAATCACATCACAGCTCTAAGGAACAATGATAGTGTTTGGGGATTCAGAGCGCTCTAGTGAGGAGGGGGGAGAGAGAGAGAGAGAGGAAGTGAGACAACAGAAGGAAACAGGGTCTGTGTCATTTCCCACAGGAATCCTCCTACAGCTTCTGCTGGAGAAAGATAAGGCTGGCCCGGAGGCCAGGAGAGGTAGAGCCACTCTGCAATTGTATTTAAGTTGATAAGATCAGAGAGTCAGAGAGCTGGAACAAGGGTTATACGAGGTCTTTTGCCACCAGGTCGCTGGTTTGAATCTGGCTGAGTTTGGCATTCGTGACCAATTCTCTCTCCCTACACAGAAAGGTCTGGAAGAGATCTCAGGTCATCTCTGTGGCTTTCCTACAGAATGCATAACCTGCTTCCTTATGGCGTTTCCACTCTGCTTTTGCTGAACACCTCTGGAGCAGCAGCTTGCGTGCCTTCTGCTGACCTGCGACGCCAAAGGCCCTACCTCAGCCCACAGATCTCTGCTGCTTTATTCCAGTGGGAGCAGTGTATCTACCTAAATGAGGTAACGGGCTCATTCCCTTGTGCAGGGGCTCAAGGTCACTTTTTAGACCCAACCTGAGGCTAGATCACCCAACAGCACGGCAACTGCTGCAGCAGAGAACCTGGGAAAGGAGCTCCTCTGTGATTTTCCCCTGTCTCATGGCTTGCCATTCACAGCATTTGGAAAAGCATTGGAATGGTGAGAAAATAAGGAACCACCCAGCAATTTTCCCTCTTGCTTCCTAGACCTGCCTTCATTTTTTATGGATGGAAAAACTGACTTCAGCTCTCTCACCTCTCTGTAGATCACTCTGCTCATAAAACAGCAGGACCAAAGGAGAGGTCTGCTTGTATCAGGCGAATCTTGAAAGGTTTTAACTTGACTCATTTTTCTCTGACAGTTTTTACCCAGTGACTTGCTTCTGTGTCTTCACACCTCAGGCTGCCTCCAGACTTTAGAAAAGAAGGGCCCTCGGTAAGGCGTGAAGGCTTGGCTACATTCTCCAGCTTCTGCAACACAGATGCTGCCGCAGGAGCCCCTGCTCCGTGTGCACTAGTGAAGACAGCCCCGAGGAAGTGGCATCAGTTCCACGTGGCAATTCAATGAAGCCAAGCCTTTAGCTCTTATGAGGGAAAAAAAAATGGTGTTACCTCTATGCAGAAAGCATCTAGCTGGTTTTTTCTTTGTCTTGGCTGCATCCAAGAGGTTTAAGAAAAGATCTTGGTATGTCAGAGGGATATTGCTGGCCAGGTTAAAGAAAATTCAAGCCTCATCTTTAGTCACTCTAAACTTATTTGCCCCAATTCTGATAATACAGAAGGTGCTTGTTACTCCAAAAAGATCATAGACAACTAGATGTCTGCTGGGTTCATAACCCTTGAGATCGTTAGGCAGGGAGTCCCTGCTTGTGATTTCAAACTCAAATAAGTAAGATGTACTGGAAAGAAAAACCGACTTGAAACTACGGGGCTGTTTTATAATGTGTTAATCCGTAGGAATTTCCACTTACAGCGTGTCCGTGAGGCTGCAGGGCTGCCACTTCCACTCGATCTCTGGGTCAGGATTCCCGCTTGCCGTGCACTGGATTTTGTGTTTGCTTCTTAATTGCACCCGCTCGATCTTATCAAAATCAGTTTCCTTTTCATAAATTTTGGGCCTCTCTAAAGAAAACAAAACAAAACATGACAATGAAATAAATGCAAACGAACAAATTTACATCCGTGGTCATTGGTCCTGTTTCCCTCAAAGGTTTTGGAATCTTTTCACTGTGATCCCCGAGCGATGATTTAATGAGGCTACTGAAGTTATAAGAAAATTGCCAACAGTACCAGAAGCGTGTATTCAGAGGGAGGGGGGTATTAGTTGTGGTGTTTCAGAAAATGCATTGAAATGCCGCCGCGTTCATCCTAATTGCTTTCAAATGTTGTCATGGACCTGCTGTACTTCTGGAAAATTTACGCCATGAAATGTCTATTGGTCAGAGACCACAGGATCGGGCTGTTGGTCTGTGTTGGCTTCTGATGTCACCTCCTGAGAGGAACCTTATCAGACACCTGCTGTTATGCAATATCGTTACCATTGTGCGGGTTCTCCCCGGGGTTTTGGAAAGAAAAAGGCTTTTCGATCTGAAAACTTTGCTTTCCTTTTCTGTTTGTGTGTAACGTGCTCTGGATGAAGGGGTGAAGAAAGCGAGGAAGAGGCAGTGGGGGGGAAGCGCTTAGAGAGTAATGCCAAGGAATTCTCACCACCAGCAAAACCATTAAAAATGTCACTGCATTACTCACATCTGGAGGGGTTGCGAGATCACACCCTCAGACTGGAAATCTCTCAAGAACAAACTTTTGTGTGACACTTTGAGGGCTGCTCATTGCCAGCAGGAAAGAAACACTTTGTCCCATCTCCTTCCAGCTCCCACGGGAACACGCGAAAATGAGAAATAATGCTCAAAAATCCCCCAAAGTGAACTGAACTTTTCCTAACCTCGGAGAGGGTGGTTTTGAATTTGGGGTGAAAGCACAGGCTCTTCCCTTATGCAGACAGCTCTGCCCATCCCGAGCATATCTCTTTGTCTGCTTCTCATAACAGGAAATCAAACAGATTTATTGGTCGGGGTCCCTCTGTGGAACACCTCTGGGTAGCCAAGTGCAGCTGCTCTGCGCTGAGGGCTTTTGACAAGTTGGGAAGTGAACGTAGATTAGATTTCTATTTTTTTGGGTTAACTTATTTTTTCTGCTGTCAAGTGGGCCCCAGATATGTAAATATGAGCTACTGCCCACCTCATCAATCTTGAGACCTTCCCCTTTTTTTTTTTAAATAGCTTTTTTTTTTTTCCTTGCAGCCCTCGTGTCTTACAAGAGGACTGACCAGGCTGATCCCGTGTCTTGGTGGGATCCTCGCTTTGCGTTCCTCATGGCTGCCAGGTCAGACACCTAAAGATCTCCTGACCTCATCGCTGCTTGAAAATGTATCAGCATTTCCATCTCCACCACATGAAAGGAGTGTTGACTGTAGGTGCATCAGCCATATCCTAACTCCCAGTAAAATATCAGCTGCTTTGAAGAACTTTCATTAGGTCCTGGTTATCATTTCACGTGGAAAACCCAAATGACAAGCCTTGTTTGGTTTTGCTCTTGTGTTCTCTTTTGCTTTTTTGATCCTCTTTGCTTGAGTCTTATTCCCATCTACCTGCAGGTGATGTTCTATCAGGCTCCAAAACTGCACTCCTCACTCCTTTGTCCCTTCGGGCAGGGAGAGGGACTGTCTCTTTGTGAAGGAGAAGGTGAAAAAGGGAGCAGAGGGGAGAATACTTCAGACTGCGGGTAGTGTCTCTCAAACTGCCATCCTACCACGGGCAGAGGGTTTCCTGCCCCGCATCGCTCCGGGTGACGCAACGTGTCACTGATTAAGTGCTTTGAGATTGGCGAGCAATTCGCAGGACAAATTGTTTGGATCGAAGTTGAATTTCCCTGTAACTGGCATCTCATTTCCCGTCGGCAAATTACTTCTGATCATAAAAATAATTTTGCAAAACTCCCTGGAGAGAGAAGCATGTTTTTCAGTATCTCAGACATTTTTCAGTCTCAAATCCTGTGTTGGTCATGTCTGGAGTGACCTCAGAAGTGTGATTTTCACTTGGAGGAAGAGACTCTAAGTTCAGTGTGAAAGGTTACTCAAGTGTTATGTTTCCTGGGCTGTAAGAGCAAAGCTTTACACGTTCGGGGACGGAAACAGTGTGTTTGAGTGGTTTTGTGTGCGTGAGAGAGTACGGGGGGACAAGGCTTGATTACTAGTTGTTAGGAGATTTTTCTGTACTCTTGGTGGAATGATGAACACTTCGGCTGTCTTTTAAATCATCCTTCTAAAAAGGAATTAATAATTTCAACTTGTTCTACTTCAAATTTTCTGTACTCTTGGTGGAATGATGAACACTTTGGCTGTCTTTTAAATCATCCTTCTAAAAAAGAATTAATAATTTCAACTTGTTCTACTTCAGACCAGAACACACATGAGTGACGGATGAATTCTTAATTCCACAATTACTTTACTGCCTGGCACTATTAAAAATTACTTGAAACCTACAATGAGTCAAAATGATTCATCAATTGGAATAATTATTATTTATAAGGCTTAAGCAATTATTTTCTTTAAACTTGAGGGGCTGGTTAAAAATGCTTCCCCATCATTTCTTTCACCTTCTAATGCAGTTAGCATGGGGTCGCGGCTAATTGTGGGCACGATACTCAGGAACTGCAGCAATTTTTGTTAAACGTCTCTCTCCCTGCAGAGGTTGTAACCGTGGTGGGTGTCGCTCTGCAAACGACTCTTACTGCGCCGCCACCGCTGGGGGCATGAGGCCCTTCCCCAATTTTTGGATGTGCTGCCTTGGTGCTTGTTCAGAGTGTTGGCATTGGCCCCGGGGCCCTGCGGGGTCATGATGCGGGGTGTGGGGTGCTCATATGGGGGTGTTTGAAAACTTTCCCAAACCTCTGCACGCTGTCGTGGCCGTTTTGCCTCTTCCCATGCTCCCTGGAAGCAACTGCAGCTTTTCTGCTCGCTTTGCTCTCTGCTGGGCCAAATCCCATCGACAGAAGTTGCCTCCATCAGTGATGGAAACAAGTTAAGTGGCTTCTGTGGTGGGTACTGGGCTTCAAGGTTTGCTCATGCCAGAATTAAAGAGTTTGCTCAGCGGGCTGGCATCTGCAGCAGACCCGCAAAATATTCTCCACGTGAGCGTGAGAAGGAGTTTTTAGCCTAAAGCAGGTGATTAGCTTGGGTGCACCTCGTAGTGTATTTGTCAGATAACTCCCTCCTCCAAACAGTGCTTTGCTTTCTCTATCACGTTCGCTTACTAAGCAGCATCAGGGATTATGCACAAACCCCTGGTTTATCTTTGCTCATGTTTTGGTGTGAGGTGAGACTTGGGGCACGAATCCCTTTGTAAGCACTGCCAGAACCCAGCTGTATTTCTGGTCCCACCTTAAATTATGCATCTAAAGCATGGATTTCATCCACACGCGTACATTTGCTCATGTCCCGCTGGTTTTTATGCATGCAAAAATAGCAAAAGCTGTCGGGAATGCAGAGCTTTAGCAGGCGTGGGATTAATGGCAGTGCAAAAGTTGAGGAAAGAGGCGAGCTGACTCTGCTCAGCCCCTGCAGTGCACCTTGCCCCCTCCAGCAAGCGCAGAGTCCTCCTTTCCCCTCGAAGCTCTCAGAGCCTGACCTGCAGCACCCTCTGCTATCCTGACCTTGGGCTCCAGCACCTTCCCATAGAGCCTGGCCCCCAGGCAGCAGTCCTGCCCACTGCAGCAGTGCTGAACTGCAAGAGATCTTTAAATACACTTCATTCCTGACCTGAAGAATCCTTCACTACCCTACTTCTCGCTTCCCGCTGCCCCCTGCACTGGACTCTGCCTGCTTTGCTTCCCAGCCTCTGTCTCCCAGCCCTGGGCCATCGCCCTCCCCAGGCTCCGTTTTCTCATGCAGAAGCCAAACAAACCTTAAAAGCTTTCTCATCTCTGGCTGCATTTGGATGTTCGGATGGCTTTAAATGTATCGAAATAAATGGGTTTTCGTCCTCTCTGCCTTAAAGTGTGATTGTATCCCCAACTCACTTTGCAGAGGTGCAATTGCTGGTGTGAGAGCTGACCTGAATAACTAAAGACTGCTGCTGCTGCTGCTGCACTGTGAAATGCAATCAAAAAGCAGTTCTGCTTACCGTAAATTTCAAACTGATCAGCGTTATGTAAATCTCACCTTACTTTCTAGTGTTATTTTTAGTTTGTGGCATTAGGAGCAAATGATAAGTACATGGATTAGGCCATTAACCCTGTGGCCCTAGCGCTTCTGCAAGAGACTCTTCTACCTCTCCATCCGTTGCAGATGTTATTGCCGGGTTGCCCACTTGTCACCCAAAGGAGCATCTCAATACAGAGGGCAGCACATAGAAAGTTTCCCTGCCTTTTGTAGAGAAACTTTGCTTTACTTTCAATGACCTCTGCCTCAACTGCTCTTTCCATTCCTTCCCCACTACCATTTCACCTGGGTTTCAAAAAACGTTAAGCACATCATTAAAATAACGTGAGTGATCCGCTGAAGCAACCTTATGTACTTTGCTGGTCATGGGGCTTCTTTAGAACTACTGATAGAGCGGCAACTTGTTTTCTATTTATCCTTTCTGTTTTCCAAAAGCAAAAATTACTTGCATTTTAGAGTCTTTCATCTGATGTTTGTACAGTACTTAATGGAAGCATGAGCTCTGCAAGTTGAGCTAGGTGAATATTCTATAAGGTAGGCAGGAAACTCATTAACGCGTGTTTGGACCAGTCAAACAGCGTGGGAAAAAGAGGATGAGATTTCCCCCCCAGATAAAAACACTTTGTCTGGGTTTGGCTTCCAAGTGATCTCTGTGGTTTGGTTGTTGTTTTCTTTTTTTTTGTTACAAGGAAAGGAAAAAAAGAGTTAAATGACCTGAAAACAAAACTTTTGTCTCAGGCTGAAGGGAACATTGTGTTTGACCCTAGCTGATTTTGCCTGGCTGATTTTCTTTGTTTCCTTCTGTTTGCTTTTTTTTGGGTTTTGTTTTATTTTGCATGAGGCACCGAGGGAGCTGCTGCAAAGCGGCTGCGCTGCATAGTCCAAGATGCCAAGATGAAAAGAG